CTCCGCGGCCCCTCGCGCCACCCTTACCTGCGGCCCCGCCGCCCCTTGCTGCGGCCCCACCACCTTACCTGCGGCCCCGCCACCCTACCCGCGGCCCCGCCACCCTACCCGCGGCTCCGCCGCCTTACCTGCGGCCCCGCCACCCTAACGGCGGCCTCGCCGCCCTTACCAATGGCCTAGCCGCCCCTGTCAACTACTGCAGCGCCGCCCGCCACCCGAGCCGCCCGAGCCGCCTCACCCAGCCGAGCAGCCGACCGCCGCGCCGCCCTGCAGCAGCACAACCGAGCCGCCCAGCAGCAGAGCAGCCGAGAACTCCAGCCGCCGAGCCGCACTGCAGCCAAGCCGCCCAGCCGCCCAGCAGTCGAGCCGCCGTGCAGCCGAGCCGCCGAGCCGCCCAGCAGCCGAGCCGCCGAGCCGCCCTACTGCCGAGCCGCCCGAGCAGCACCGTCCAGTGAGCACAGCGCCTCTGTCACTGCACTGCCCTTTCCCTACTGTTTGCGCTGCTAGGCCACTGTTGTCATGGCTACCCCTAGTGTCCTCGCTTTTGACGCTGAGGGTCAAGCCATTGACTTTGACGTTTGGGTAGATGACCTGCAGCTGTTCTTACAATGCGATAGGGCAGACGGTCTCTCTCTCTTTGACCTCACCTCTGGCGCCTCTCCTGCCCCTGGTGCTGATGCTGACGCCACTGTTCGCTCCTAGTGGGCCACGCGCGACGCTGCTGCACGTCTTGCTGTGCGTCGCCACCTCCCTACCTCCGAGCGTGCGCACTTTAGTCAGTACAAGAGTGCTCAGACCTTGTACGACGTTGTAGTTGCACGCTACTCCTCCCCTGCCACTGCTGCACTGAGCCGTCTCATGCTACCGTACCTCTTCCCTGACCTTGCTGCCTTTCCCACAGTCGCTGACCTCATTACGCACCTCCGCACTAGTGACACTCGCTACCGCGCTGCACTTCCTGCTGACTTCTGCGCCAAGAACCCCCCCCCCATGTACATCACTCTCTACTACATAGTCACTCGCCTCCCTGACTCCCTTCGCGTAGTCAGGGACCACTTCCTCTCAGTCTGTCCCACCACTCTCACTGTTGACCTCCTCGAGAAGTCCCTCCTAGCGGCCGAGAAGAGCATCATCGCTGTAGGGGCCTCTCGTGGTGACCCGCACACCCCCATCTTTGAGGGGTGTTCCCCCTCCCCCCTTCTGCCCTCTGTTGCCTCTACTGCTGCGGCCGACCTCCTTGGTCTTGAGTTGGTCGGTGCAGCGTCTGCCCCTAGCGGGAGACGCCCCTCTTGCAAGGGCAAGGGGGGCAGGGGCGCTGGAGGAGCGAGCGGGGGCAGTGGAGGTGGAGGTGGAGGCGGCGGGGGGAGTGGGGGTGGCGGTGGGAGTGGAGGTGGGGGTGGACGTGTCGGTGGCGGCAGTGGAGGCGGCGGCGGCAGTGGCAGTGGGAGCGGAGGTGGCAGAGGTGGCGGCGGTGGAGGAGGCGGCGGAGGCGGCGGTGGCGGCGCAGGCGGCGGAGGCGGCGGAGGTGGCGGTGGAGCTGGTCGCGGGTCTTCGTAGAGGAGTGGCTCTGGCAGTGGTCCACGCCAGCAGCAGCAGCGCGGTCGTGAGACCCTGTCCCCTCAGCAGCTCCGTGAGTGGTACACTCCACGCCAGCGGGGTGGGGGTTTTGGTCCGTGCACCTACGTCCTACGCACCGGCGACCGTACGGGTGAGCAGTGTGGGGGTGCGCACCCTACCCAGCGCTACTTTGGCCGCCTGACGGATGCGTGGCGTCACCAGTTCCCTGAGGCTACTGATATCTTTCCCTGGGGCGAGCTGTCTAGGGCGGGAGTTGCCATCTATGATCTTGATTTTGATGCTATTCTTTCTGCTATGTATGCTGTGACTATTAGTGATGAGGGTAACTGTTACCAGTGTTTCCCGCCCGATCCAGGCATTGAGACTGCTGCTCTAGGTACTGGTGAGGCTGCTACCCTAGGTGCTTGTGACGCTGCTGCTCTAGGTGAGTCTGCGCTCTCAGGTACTGCGTCGGCTTCGGCCTCCCTCACCTTCACCCTTGACTCTGGGGCTTCTCGCTCCTTCTTTCGGGACCGCACCACACTCACGCCGCTTAGTCGGCCAGTAGCGGTGTCTCTGGCTGACCCCTCTGGGGGTCCTCTCCTGTCTCACTTCTCCACAGTCCTCCCGTGTCCGGCGGCTCCCTCTCGCGCCCTGTCTGGTCTCTACCTCCCCTCGTTCTCTACAAACTTGGTGAGTGGTGCTGACTTACAGGATGGGGGAGTACACCAGTTCACACCTGCGCGTCAGCGGGTGACGCACTGCACAGAGGCTAGCACAGGCCGACACTTGGCTACGTTTACACGTCAGCCGGGGTCGAGCCTGTATGCACTGACCACCGCGTCTCCTCCAGTTACTGAGTCTCGTAGGGTAGCTGCGTCAGGTCAGGTATTTGCTGCAGCGTCCAGGTCTGGTCCTGAGTCTGCCCCCTGTTCGTGTCGTCTTCTGTCTCACGAGACTCTCCTCTGGCACCACCGCCATAGTCACCCCTCTCTGCTTCGTCTCAGAGGCATGGCCTCCCGTCTTCTTGTTTCTGGTCTCCCCCGGTCCCTCCCTCCCCTTCCTCAGGGGCCTCGCCCTACCTGTGTCCCCTGTGTCGAGGGGCGCCAGCGGGCTGCCCCTCACTCCTCCCAGTTTCCTCCGACAGAGGCCCCGCTGCAGACGCTTCACATGGGAGGTTCTTTGGCTACTGAGGGTGCTACTGTCGCGGGTCCCGGAGGTGCTCGTACTGGGAGTACTGGAGCTGTTGGGCCTGCGGGTTCGACTGGAGCTTGTGCTGCTGAGGGGGTTGGCGCTGAGCCTACTGCTGGCGGTCCTGCTGGAGGTACTACTGGCGCTGCTGGAGGTTCTGGAGTTGCTGGAGGTGCTGCTGGAGCGGGTGCTCCTGCTGGGGGTGCTGGTGCTGTCCCTGCTGTGTCTGGCGTCGCCGCGCGGCCTCGACCGTACTTCGTTCCACTCCTGCAACAGGTTCTTGGTCTTCCGCCTTCTACTGGTCCTCCTCCGTTTTTTGGGGGTCCACAGCCTGTCCCGTCACAGTTCCAGTTGCAGCCTGCCTCCCCTTTGCTGGCGGTCCTACTGGAGGTCTTGCTGAGCGTCGTGAGCCTGCGTCTCGCCCTGCGTCGCCTGTCCGTGCTGCTCACACTAGTGGTCAGTGGTTCATGTCAGCGTCCTCCTCCTGACCCTCGCACGCACTGGATGTCTCTACGTCCGTCCACTGCTCCTCTGCGTGCCCCTTTGCCTTCTCCTCTTGAATCCTCTCTTCCTGCGCTTGCCGACCCGGAGTCGGACTCTCTTCGTGCTGCCAGTCCTACTGTCATGCGTCTCCTTGCTACTGTCGTCACTGACTCTTCTTTCGAGTCCACTTCTGCGTCTGCCCTAGTTACTGAGCTCGTCGACTTTGCTGCTCGCTGTCGCCTAGACTATGCTGCTAGTCTTGTCGCTGAGTCTGAGTCTGTCTGTCCTCCGTCCGTCGGGGGTGAGTGTGCCCTTGGCACGGACGTCCTTGAGGACAGGCAGGAGGAGTTCCAGTGCTTGGCCGCTGCTTCACCTCATCTCGTGTCCGTACTGCTCACCCCTGAGGGAGACCCGGATGCACTTGACATCCCGACTCCGCGCTCTTACGTGGAGGCGATAGAGGGTCCCTACTCTTCTCAGTGGCAGGCAGCTATGTGTCAGAATATATTTGTAACTGCGTGTAGCTATAGTTAGTGTAGTCATTATAAACTTTGTTTGGTGGTGCACCTTCTTTGTTTCTTTGCTATATGTTGTTGCCAACCTATAGTGAAACCCTCTTTTTCTCCTATCTCAACTTTCTCGACATCCTCCTTACCCTAGAACTCCAACTACTAAGAACGTCCTTAACTATGGCTCCTAAGCCAACCTCTGCCTAGTATCTTAACATGGTATTCAGAGCAGGTACGTTCCTGTTGCCTTCCTGTTTCCGCTGCCTATCGTCTTGCCGTGCGCCTCGGGCGCCGTGTGCTCGGGGCGCGCGGCGTCTTCCTGCCGCGCGCGTGGCCTGCCCTCACGCCGCCTGCGCGCCTCCCTAACGTCCACGGGTGGGCCTGATTTGCCCGCCCGTATCCTTCACTTTGCGGCGCCCTGCGAGGCGCCGCTCCTGCTCGTCGCGACGCACCTGCGGGACCCGGGCGTCGCCACTCTTGCTCGTCGCGACGCCCCTGCAGGACCCGCAAGGCGTCGCCTTGCTCGTCGCGACGCCACTGCGGGACCCGCGGGGCGTCGCCACTGCTCGTCGCGGCGCCCCCTGGACGCCGCCCCTACTCGTCGCGGCGCTCCTGGGGCGTCGCCCGTGCTCGTAGCGGCACTCCTTGGGCGCCGTCCCTGCTCGTCGCGGCGCCCTCCCCCCTGGCCACCGCCTCTGCCTCACCCGCGCCCGCACCAGCGTTGCAGCCGAGCGCGGGCCTACCTTGCACCAGCGCCGCCCCTGGACCTTAGCAGCAGCGCCTGGAGCAGCCGCCCCAGCAGCAGCAGCCTCTGGAGCCGCCGCCCAAACAGCAGCAGCCTCTGGAGCTGCCGCCACTGCAGCGGCCGCCCCACCAGCAGCAGCGTCTGGAGCAGCCGCCCCATCAGCAGTAGCGCTTGGAGCAGCCGCCCCAGCAGCAGCAGCCTCTGGAGCCGCCGCCCCAGCAGCAGCAGCGCCTGGAGCATCCGCCCTAGGCGCAGCAGCCCCTGGAGCCGCCGCCCAAACAGCAGCAGCCTCTGGAGTTGCCGCCACTGCAGCGGCCGCCCCAGCAGCAGCAGCGTCTGGAGCAGCCACCCCAGCAGCAGCAGCGCCTGGAGCAGCCGCCCCAGCAGCAGCAGCCCGTGGAGCCGCCGCCACTGCAGCGGCCGCCCCAGCAGTAGCAGCGCCTGGAGCAGCAGCCCCAGCAGCAGCCCACGGCGCCGACCCCACAGCTGTATGCACCGCCGCTCCTAGACTCGGTATGGCTGCCCGTGCCTGTGCTGCCTGTTGCTGCCTGTGCTTGTGCTGCCTGTTGCTGCCCGTGCCTGTGCTGCCCGTTGCCGCCCTTTGCTGCCCGTGCCTGTGCTGCCTGTTGCTGCCCGTGCCTGTGCTGCCTGTTGCCGCCCGTTTCTGCCCGTGCCTGTGCTGCCCGTTGCCGCCCGTTGCTGCCCGTGCCTGTGCTGCCTGTTGCCGCCCTTTGCTGCCCGTGCCTGTGCCGCCCGTTGCCGCCCGTTGCTGCCCGTGCCTGTGCTGCCCGTTGCCGCCCGTTGCTGCCCGTGCCTGTGCTGCCTGTTGCCGCCCATTGCTGCCCGTGCCTGTGCTGCCTGTTGCTGCCCGTGCCTGTGCTGCCTGCTGCCGCCCGTTGCTGCCCGTGCCTGTGCTGCCCGTTGCCGCCCGTTGCTGCCCGTGCCTGTGCTGCCCGTTGCCGCCCGTTGCTGCCCGAGCCTGTGCTGCCTGTTGCTGCCCGTGCCTGTGCTGCCTGTTGCCGCCCGTTGCTGCCCGTGCCTGTGCTGCCCGTTGCCGCCCGTTGCTGCCCGTGCCTGTGCTGCCCGTTGCCGCCCGTTGCTGCCCATGCCTGTGCTGCCTGTTGCCGCCCGTTGCTGCCCATGCCTGTGCTGCCTGTTGCCGCCCGTTGCTGCTCGTGCCTGTGCCGCCGTTGCCGCCCGTTGCTGCCCGTGCCTATGCTGCCCGTTGCCGCCCGTTGGTGCCCGTGCCTGTGCTGCCTGTTGCTGCCCGTTGCTGCCCGTGCCTGTGCTGCCCGTTGCCGCCTGTTGCTGCTTGTTGCTGCCCGTGCCTGTGCTGCCTGTTGCCGCCCGTTGCTGCCCGTGCCTGTGCTGCCCGTTGCTGCCCGTTGCTGCCCGTGCCTGTGCTGCCCGTTGCTGCCAGTGCTGCCCGTTGCTGCCACTGCCTGTGCTGCCTGTTGCAGCCCGTTGCTGCCCATGCTTGTGCCGCCCGTTGCCGCCCGTTGCTGCCCGTTGCCGCCCGTTGCTGCCCGTGCCTGTGCTGCCTGTTGCCGCCCGTTGCTGCTCGTGCCTTTGCTGCCTGTTGCTGCCCTGCTTCTGCCTACGCCCTCGTGCGCTCTACTGCTGCCCGCGCCCTCGTGCGCCCTGCTGCTGCCCGCGCCCTTGTGCGCTCTGCTATGCGTGCGCCCTCGTGCGCTCTGCTGCTGCCCGCGCCCTCGTGCGCCCTGCTGCTGCCTGCGCCCTCATGCGCTCTGTTCTGCTCTGTCGCCCCTGCCCCCCCCCCCCCCCCCCCCTTCTTCGTCTCCTTGCTGCGCGTGCAGCCGTGGAACGGAGGCTATGGGGTGGCAGGTATGGGGGTGATGGGTGTGTGTGATCCCCTTCCCCTCCTCCTCCTTTCTCTCCCACTGCTGCAGCTGCCGCTGGGGGGGGGTGGGTGTGAGGGTGTGGGGGAGCTGGGGGAGAGGTGCTAGGGTTGTCAAGGAGTGTGGAAGGGGGAGTTGGAGGTTTGAGGAAGGTTCCAGGAAGCAGCCGACACCTCTCTGCTGCCGTTCTACATCCTCGTGTACGTCGACGACTTGGTCTTTGCCACAGCTGACACTGCTGGACTCGCCTATGTGAAGTCCGAGCTGCAGAAGAGACACACGTGCACTGACCTGGGTGAACTGCGCAGCTACCTTGGCTTGCAGATCACCCGGGACAGAGCACGCCGCACCATTACCCTGACTCAGTCACACATGGTGCAGCAGGTCCTTCAGCGCTTCGGCTTCACGTACTCCTCGCCTCAAACCACTCCTCTGCCTACTCGCCACTCGCTCTCAGCTCTGCCTTCGGATGAGTCCGTAGAGTCGAGTGGCCCGTACCCAGAGCTTGTTGGCTGCCTCATGTACCTGATGACCTGCACACGACCTGACCTTGCATACCCTCGTAGCATTCTTGCACGCTATGTTGCTCCTGGGAGACACCGTCCAGAGCACATGGCTGCAGTGAAGAGGGTGTTGCGCTACTTGTGCAGTACGTCGGGCATGGGGCTAGTGCTTGGAGGGCGGAGTCCAGTGGTCCTCACTGGGCACGCGGACGCTTCTTGGGCTGACGACCAGGCTACGCAGCGGTCGTCACAGGGTTACACCTTCAGCCTTGGCTGCGGCTCTGTTTCGTGGCGGGCTACTCGCTCGTCTTTGGTTCTCGGCTCCAGTTGTGAGGCTGAGATCTACGCAGGGGCCATGGCTGCACAGGAGCTTCGCTAGCTCACCTACCTGCTGACCGACCTTGGAGAGCCGCCTCGTTCTCCTCCAGTCCTGTACGTAGACAACAAGGCCATGCTGGCCTTGTGTCGAGAGCAGAGACTGGAGCACAGAACAAAGCACATTGCTCTTCGCTACTTCCTTGCTCGTGAGCTACAGCAGCGTGGTCAGTCGCGGCTTGCGTACGTGGCCTCCGAGGCCAACACTGCTGATGTCTTCACCAAGGCACTTGCGCCTTGTGATCATCAGCGCTTCTGCACTCAGCTGGGTCTTGTGCGTGTCTTGCCTCACTTGCTCACTTCTTGACCTTGCTTGTACTGTCACATATTTATACTCTTGCTCTTGCTTGCTTAGCCTCTTGTATATATATATATATATATATATATGTGATCTTGCATGTGAACTGGCCTTGTGGCCTTGAACTTGTGCTCGAAATGTGTGGTGACGTTGTGATCCACCCTGAGCTTGCTTTGCTTTGCTTTGCTTGACTGGTCTTGTGACCCCTTGTTCTCCCCCACTTTGCCTATGGGGGTGTGTCAGAACATTATAGCTTATACTTTTGTGTAGGGTGTCTCAGAATGTTTAAGTAGAGGTAGGCTTAGGAGCCATAGTTGAGGTACCTAGGTGATCGAGTTCGAGTGAGTTAGGAAAGTATCGAGAGATTTTTGAAAGAGAAGTGGTTTCACTAGCAAGAGTTGGGATACAAGTACAATGCCCTAAATTGGGTTGTACTCATTACAGAGTACCCCACTGCAGGCTAGACAGCAAATATATTCTGACACACCCCCATAGCCAAAGTGGGGTGTAATCAGCAGAGCAGGCAAAGCAGTACAAGCTCAGGGTGGATCACAATGTCACCACACATTCTGAGCACAAGTTCAAGAAGCAATAGTTAAAGTGCACAATTATCAGCAAAGCTAGTGGTGGTCACAACGGGCAAGTGAGGAGGAGGAGGGAGAGTGAGAGGAGAGGAGATAGAAGGCGGCGGCTGAAGCTGCAGACACACGGGCAACAGGAGTGGCGAGCACAGTGGCTACCGGACTAGGCGCCCGGACTACAGGATTAACAGGCCCCGCGGCTCAAGTAGCGGCAGACGGGCAACGGACCCACAAGGCGACTGGCGCAGCGACAAGCTCACTGGGCTACCGGGACAGCGCCCCGGATTACAGGTGCTGCGGACGACAAACTGGCAACCTCCGCTCAACCTCCCGCACACAGTCCCACCCCCCCGACACACACCCGTTGCTATACCACTAGCTCCACTCCCACCCACCCCCCCCTTAAACCCTAAACCCAAGACTCCCACACAACCACCCCCCTCAGCAAGAGCTGTAGGAGTGGGAGACAAAGGAGGAGGAGGAGGAGGGGACGGCACGCACAACCGACACCCCCACAACGAGCACCCCCACACTCACCCCCCACGGCTGCACCTGGTCCATGAGCGACTGCTGAAGGGGCCAGGGGCGGCTGCTGTTGGTGCGGCTGCTCTAGTGGCTGCTGCTCCAGGGGCTGCTGCTGGGGCGTCTCCAAGGGCTGATGCTGGGGCGGCTGCTCCGGGAGCTGCTGCTGCTGCTGCTGCGGTGGCTCCTCCAGGGGCTGCTGCTCCAGGGGCTGCTGCAGCTTGGGTGGCCGCCCCAGAGGCGGCTACTGCTGGGGCGGCTGCTCCAGTGGCTGCGGCTGGGGCGGCTGGTCCCGGGGCTGCTGCTGCTGGGGCAGCTGCTCCGGGGGCTGCTGCTGCTGGGGCGGCTCCCGGGGCTGCTGCTGGGGCGGCTGCTCCCAGGGCTGCCGCTGCTGCTGCTGCTCCAGGGGCTGCTGCTCCCGGGGCTGCTGCTGCTGCGGTGGCTCCTCCAGGGGCTGCGGCTGGGTCGGCTGCTCCCTGGGCTGCTGCTGCTGGGGTGGCCGCTCCAGAGGGAGTTGCTGCTGGTGGGGCGGCCGCTCCAGGGGGTGCAGCTGCTGGGGCTGCTGCTAGGGCGGCTGCTCCTGGGGCTGCTGCAGCGGAAAGTAGGAGGTAGGGGAGGTGAAGGGCGCGGCCCCCATTGTGCCCTGAAGGGCGACGTGCTGGGGAGCCGCGCCGGTCCCCGAATGTGCCTCGACGGGCAACAAGAGGGGACCGCGCGCAGGCCCCTAGGGTGCCGCGATGAGGTAACGGGAGGGGCCGGCGCGCGGGCCTTGAAAGTGTCGCGACGAGGCGACGGGAGGGACCTGCGTGCGGGCCCCCAAAACGCCGCGACGAGGCGACGGTCGGGGCCAGCGCGCGGGCCCCCAAGACGCCGCGACGAGGTAGGGGCCCGCCGCGCGCCTCGGGGCGCACGGCGGGCAGAAAACCGCCACGCGCCCCGAGCACGTGGCGGGAAGAAAAATAGGTGGTCGCGCGCCACGGGGCGCACGACACACAATAGGGCAGCGGAATCGAGTAGGCCCACAGGCCAGGAGCGTTAAGCTCTAATACCATCTCAGAATGTTTAAGTAGAGGTAGGCTTTGAGAAAGTTAGAACGAGAATGAAATGACTATGAACGAAGTGAGTACAAATAGGAAACCCTGATTGGGTTGTACCCCCTATGGGATACCCCACTATAGCCTACACAAATAAGTAAGCTATAATGTTCTGACACACCCCCATAGGCAAAGTGGGGGAGAACAAGGGGTCACAAGACCAGTCAAGCAAAGCAAAGCAAAGCTCAGGGTGGATCACAAAGTCACCACACATTCCGAGCACAAGTTGAAGGGCCACAAGGCCAGTTCACATGCAAGATCATATATAGAGATATACAAGAGTCAAGCAAGCACGAGCAAGAGTACATATAGGTAAAGGTACAAGCAAGGTCAAGAAGTGAGCAAGTGAGGCAAGACAGGCACAAGACCCAGCTGCGTGCAGCAACGCTGATGATCACAAGGCGCAAGTGCCTTGGTGAAGACATCAGCAGTGTTGGCCTCAGAGGCCACGTACGCAAGTCGCAACTGTCCACGCTGCTGTAGCTCACGAGCAAGAAAGTAGCGGAGAGCAATGTGATTTGTCCTGTGCTCCAGTCGCTGCTCTCGACACAAGGCCAGCATGGCCTTGTTGTCTACGTACAGGACTGGAGGAGAATGAGGCGGCTCTCCAAGGTCGGTCAGCAGGTAGGTGAGCCAGCGTAACTCCTGTGCAGCCATAGCCCCGGCGTAGATCTCAGCCTCACAACTGGAGCCGAGAACAGAAGACGAGCGGGTAGCCCGCCACGAAACAGAGCCGGAACCAAGGCTGAAGGTGTAACCCTGTGACGACCGCTGCGTAGCCTGGTCGTCAGCCCAAGAAGCGTCCGCGTGCCCAGTGAGGACCACTGGACTCCGCCCTCCAAGCACTAGCCCCATGCCCGACGTACTGCACAAGTAGCGCAACACCCTCTTCGCTGCAGCCATGTGCTCTGGTCGGTGTCTCCCAGGAGCAACATAGCGTGCGAGAATGCTAAGAGGGTATGCAAGGTCAGGTCGTGTGCAGGTCATCAGGTACATGAGGCAGCCAACAAGCTCTGCATACGGGCCACTCGACTCTACGGACTCATCCGAAGGCAGAGCTGAGAGCAAGTGGCGAGTAGGCGGAGGAGTGGCCTGAGGCGAGGAGTACGTGAAGCCGAAGTGCTGAAGGACCTGCTGCACCATGTGTGACTGAGTCAGGGTAATGGTGCGGCGTGCTCTGTCCCGGGTGATCTGCAAGCCAAGGTAGCTGCGCAGTTCACCCAGGTCAGTGCACGTGTGTCTCTTCTGCAGCTCGGACTTCACGTAGGCGAGTCCAGCAGTGTCAGCTGTGGCAAACACCAAGTCGTCGACGTACACGAGGATGTAGAACGGCGGCAGAGAGGTGTCGGTGCGCAGAAACAGCGACGGGTCGGCAGTAGAAGGAGCAAACCCAAGTGCCGCTAGCGTAGTCCTCAGTGTGTCGTGCCACTCGCGTGGCGCCAGGCGGAGACCGTAGACTGGACGCCGGAGACTCCACTGGGTACCAGGAGGGAAAGACCCAGTGAAGACAGGTGGGCGACGCAGCCAGATCTCCTCGTGCAGGCTGCCCTGCAAGAAAGCTGTGCTGAAGTCGAGAGAGTGCAGCTCGTAGTCACGGTGAGCAGCAACGTGCAGCAGTACCCGAAGAGTGGTCATCTTCGGGGTGGGGGAGAAGGTCTGAAAGTAGTCAATCTCCCTGCCGCTGACTGAAGCCACGAGCCACGTAACGCGCCTTGAAGACAGGCGGAGAACTCGGCGGCCGCTTCACCCTAAAAATCCGCATGCCACTGACGATGTTCGCCCCAGGAGGGGGGACAGCGTCAACGTAGGTGCCTGTGGACTTCCAGGAAGCCATCTCTGCATCCATAGCTGCCTGCCACTGAGAGGAGTAGGGACCCTCTATCGCCTCCGCGTAAGAGCGCGGAGTCGGGATGTCAAGTGCATCCGGGTCTCCCTCAGGGGCTAGCAGTACAGACGCGAGATGATGTGAAGCGGCGGCGAGACACTGG